TTGGGCATCGTTCGGAGTGGAACGAAAACATGTCGTCGCTTTAGAGACCATCTGCCGGGGAGGACTGGCCTCCGAAGACGAGGCGACAGTCCACCCGAATGCATGTGTTTTATTTTTTCGGCCCATAATGTGCTTCCAGCAATCACACCCCATACACACACGTACATGGGGAGACTGTGAGTGGGGTAGCAGCGTGCACAGTACATTTTTTGCAATCCATCCGCCCCAATCAACAGAACAAGGCTACATTGCCATCTTGGCAATTAACAGACACGAATCTCGTGTCGGCACTTGCAGCAGTGATGATGATCCGTTCCGTTTGACCCCAGTACAGAAAGGTCAACACGGCCTCTGTTAAGATAAGACGAAACTTGTTACATTCGCCCGCCTCACAGACACCAGCTCAATCTGGCCTCCGGAAGATGCGCAAATTGGACATAACAACTGACCCCTCCGATAAACCAAGGGGTGTGCCACTTTTCTAAATCACGCTAGTCCTAATCGCCCCACTGGACTTGGCCAGATGACTCACCATTCTCGAAGTCATGACTGCGAATCGACACTTTCGAGTCTTCTTCTCCTGCATGTTTATCCCTTGCTTTTCGACGATCAACAACCACGAGTTGCCAACACAGGACCGGTTGGCAGGTGCTACTACTCGTTGGTACTTGATGTTGGAGACCCGAAGGGATTACATGAATTGGCCCTACCAACAGCCGAAATAGTGATAGATAAACATCGTAAGAGCTTCTTTAACTTTGTTGTGATGGTGAATAAAACTATTTTCATCTGCAAGGAGGTTCCGACTGCTCAGAATTCATGAAGACTGTCTCGAATTATCTTTAAAGGGAGTAAGAGCGGTGAATTTTAGGACATCCAAAAAGAAGTGAATCTAAAGATAGCTACATGCTTGTTTTACTCGAACTCAGGAAATTCTCTATTTTTACTAACTAATATCATCGGATACAATGACTTTTTTGTGAGTCAGTAATTTTTGAAGAGCAACCTAATTCGCTGATACCGATTTATGGACGAAACGAATGCTTCCTTTTGACCCCACAGAAAACCTTAGGAGGATCTTCTTGCACCGTCCAGCGAACTCGATGAATCCGCGTGATAGGCCTCCTTAGAGCAGGAAGCCGAATTCTATAGTCCCTTTTTGTCCATTCACGATTTGGTTGGCTGCCTAAGAGCGAGTCCTTAAATGAAAATAAGGCCGGATACCTGTTGGTATGAGGTGGCTTGATTTTCTACGAAGCTCATGCAGGCACAATCCACGAGACTTGCTCCAGAGAAAAAAAGACTGAGCTCTTCATCTATCCTGCTAAAAGCTGGAGCTATTTCTTGCAAATAAGTAAATTAAGCACTAAGTCAAGAAGATTATCCGGCTATATTTTCTATGCTAAATACACTTGTTGAGCTTACTTTCACTTTAAGGCATGGATTGTGGTGAAGAGTTATGAAAATGTTGAGTTATGAGGACTAGCTTGGTTCAAAATTGGTGATATACTTCCCATTCCGAGTGAAAATGTGTGATGAAGGGATTCGATGAACGATCTCACTAGAAGACAGCGGCCAATCTCTCTTGACCAACCATCGTTTGGCTTTCTGGAACAATCCGATTGATGCCGTCTCCAAAGCAGTCTATTTAAAGTCCGGTGAAATCGTGTTAACATTTCAT